GCACTCTGGGAAGGTTAGGCAGGAGGATCAAAAATTCAAGCCAAGCCTGGAAAAATTAGTGATCTAAGAAGACCATGTCTCAAAATTAAAAAATAAAAAGGGCTGTAGTTTAGTGCAGAGGCTCTGGGTTCAATCTTCAAAATAAATAAATAAACAAAAAAAATCTAGAGTTAGAGAAATAACTTGTAATAAATACCTATACTTTCTTAAACTTCTGAAAAATTATAAACTCTTCTTCATGCTACACCCCACACATCTTTCCCCACCCAAACTTGTATAGTTTTCAAAAAAATACTTAAATATCTTATTTCATCTGTGAACTTTTGACTATTTAATTTCTGCTGAGTATCACCTCATAAAATGTCAGGTTTACAAAACATTATGGTGTAGCCACAACTACCTTGTTCTCTAGATAATATACAGTGGAGCTTCTGGCTCTTTACTAAAGTCAAAAAGTCCACAAAAGGCAAATGTTTTGAATCGGTTAAGAATAACAAGTCTGCCATAACAGAACAATTGAAGGTGCTCACAAAAGAGGACTTTCAGAATTGCTTCAGAAAGTGGTGAGAATAATGGGATGTGTGTTGGGGTGGGGTACGGTATTTTGAGGAGGATTAATGTTAACATCTTTTACTGTAATCTTTTTTAAATTTTAGATACCATATTTTCCAACCATGCCTCGTATGTACTTGATAATTTTCCAAAAGTTACATTTTTCTGGTCAATTCTTGTCCTAAGTTCTTGCTTCCATGAAATAGTCATCTCTTCCTGTGCTGTTTCCACAGGTTCCATCTGGCAGCTTCCAGTGCTGAATGCTGTGTGCAAACTTCAGCGAGGGCTTAGATAACAGCAAGGCTATGAGGGGCCAGGTAGGGTGCTGGTGGGAGCCTGAATATTAGACATCTTGTTCCGATAGGATTGGAGCTACTTTCATGATATGACTTATAGCCGAGGGAGGTCTCTTCACTACCATATCATCTCCACTAGCTGCTTGACCGTCACACGTTCCTTTGTCCTTGTCTTCAGACTGGTCTTTTTACACTAGTCTGGTGACTCATCAGAATGTGTTACCAAGACATTCTCATCTGTGCTTTAATAAATACTGGTTTCAGTAGATTTTACTCCTTTTAAAAAATATTTATCGTATAAAAATGTAGTGGCCTCATAGAGCATATGTTTGTGGATAATCTGATGGGCAGAGGACCATGACTATTTCCTCACTGATGGGCTTTTAGTAATCAAATTATAAGATGATTTCCTGTTATCTTATATGTTATTCCACTAGACCCTGACTAGATTGTAAGGAACAGGAGTAGTCAGAGTCAGAATAGAATATACTATTTCTCAGTTACTGAAATCTATACATGGTTCAATTAAAGGAAGCATTTTGAATGCCAAAACTTTTGGAAAAGAAGCTCAGGGTAGTGATGAAAAAAGAGTGTAGTCACTTGTGCTCGTGTGACTGGGAAAATTTCCTCAGGAAGATGCTTTATAGGATTTCGGTGAGCTATTTTCACTTCATGTAGGTAATATAACTATTTTAGACATTTATAGTTGTTTATTATAATTTATTAGTAAAATATTGATGTATTTTTATTTTACCATGATAATTCCATTCTCTAGAAATATGACATTAAAGAATTCACTGGCCAGACTTGTGAAAGCAGCATATACAGTTGGTCCTCCATATCCATGTGTTCTGCACCCATGGATTCAACCAACTATGAATGGAAAATATTGAGAACAGTTGCATTTTTATGAAATATGTACAGACTTTCTGTCATTTGTGTCAATCAGTTTCCTATCATTATGACACTATACCTGAGATAATCCACTTAGAAGGAAAAAAGTTCATTTGTGACTCATAATTTAGAGGTTTCAATCCATGGTTGATTGGGGTTATTGGAAAGACAGTATTTTGTAGCAGAAGCTTGCAGCAAAGGAATCTGCTTGTCTCATGGTGGCAAGAAAGTAAAAGAGACAGAAAGGGACCAGGGACACGAGGCTTTACCTCTTAAAAGTTCTACCATCACAACAACAGGCTAAGGATCAAACCTTTAACACAAGGGACCTTAGGGCACATTTCCTAACAAAACTATATTACATAAGTCCATAACAATGCCATTTATGTAGCATTATCACTAGATATTTTATGTAATCTAGAGAGGATTTAAAGCCTACGGGGGTGTGCATAGATGGCATGCAAATGCCACCCCATTTTATATAAGGGATTTGACTGTGCATCTACAGATTTTGGCATCCAAGGAGGGCCCTGGAACCAACCTATTCCCTACACATACTAATTTTAAAGTGACTAAAGGCTTCTGAAAGTGTAGGCTGGGTCTTGTGATCTTGATAGCTATTGAACATTATAGAATCATATTCAATTATTTACCCTTCTTATTTTATTTTTCTACTTATTTGTCTTTATGCTTTTAATGTAATTTTAATGTAATTTGTCTTATAAGACAAACATAACATTTTCTTATCACTTATTCTCTTACTATATTTATATTTCCTTTGACTTAAGCCCCTTACCTTTAAGTGAATTTTAGAAACTTTAAACTTTAAACTTTAAGATAATTTACCACAAAAATGGAGAATATAGTGGATACTTAACTGAAAACACATAAGAAAGCACAAATTTTATTCTTTATATTTAGTTCAAAATTAGTGATATATATTTAATGTTATAACCTATAGGTCTTTGGAATCCCATTTTAAAAGGATTACAGAAAAGAGTGCTCAGAAATTCATGTATTGTTGTTTTTAAAATAAGCAATCATTATGTACTTAAAACTTAAGTGAAGGATTAAGATAAACTAGAAGGATTTCAGTTGAGCCCAGTGTATGATCCTTGTAGCCAAACATCCCCAAGTCACATCCAGTGTTGCCTGGCTGAACTTAAAGAGCAAGTACTCACATTCCCAAGCATACATGAAGATTCACATCCTGAACATTCACCAGTCCCCTTAGACAGGCCCAACTCATCTGTGACAGTCAACAACAGACAGGCCAGACTTACCATACCGGCTAATCCATCCTGTTTTAGAGTCTTCTAACAGATGACATGACACAGTCAAATCCTGAATTGTCAGTTAAAAATGCATGGAACCAAGCATTTGCCTTCTCTCCTTTGTACTTAACCCTACTAATACTTATCTAAATAGCCACGAGAAGTTGATGATGGCTTTTCCTTCTTCCACTTATACAGATCTTGGTGGCCCATTTTATCACTAAGTCTAATTGTAATTAATGCTTATAAAATGCACAAGAGATTTGACCAACATTACAAAAGATCTGTCATCTAGAGAACTTATAATTTGAACTCAAATCTTGTTCCTAACCACCACACACCAGAACCTAGCATTTTTGTACTAAGACACAAATTAGTATGAAAACAAAACCTCTACTCCACATTTAGAAAGAAGAAAGATGCTTGGGAATGGTATTTCTTTTATTTAAAAATAACTTGGACTTTTCCAATATATAAAAAGGAGATAACACATGGTAGGATGATTTATTAGCTTCCTGACCCAGCTCCCATAAGCCTGATCTTTTATTTGGTCTTTTCTCACTGTCAGCCATTTTCTTTTCTCTTTGTCTACCTGTCAGTCACTTCCATCATGAAAGCAGGGGAGATTATTTACATCAAACAACACTATGTAAACAGAAGCCAAGGGACCATGTGATTTCTTTGAGTAAACTCTTTGGGCTCTTTCTGCATCTCTGCTCTTTGAATTTTCAGTGAACTTCATGTTTTAAATAACTACTTTTTTGGAATAAATGCAAAGCAACAAAAGCTATTTAATGAAGAATAATGGCCATTTCAGGTTGAATGTTGTAATATCCTGTTTCTAAAAGTGTTTGGCCATGTTATTTGATTTTATTCCTTCAAATACAAGGAGTTCTGGAAGTTCTTCTTCTTGAGTGTCTTTAGTTGTACTGTCATGCCTGCCTTGATGTGCTGAATCCATTGAAAATGTTTCCCTTTTGTAGTCTTTTTGACTTTGGTGAAGCCATATGGTATGAGATCAGTGAATAAGACAGATGAGGACATATCTTAATGTTTTTATGAGCTTGCCCCACCTTTAGATGGCACTCAGCAACAACATTCACTGCATTTTTTAAAATCACAACTGGTTAAGACACTACTGAAAGACAACTTTAGGAGCTGCTTCAGAAAGTGACAAGAAGGATGGAATAAGTGTGTTCAACACAAGGGGAAGTCTTTTGAAGGGAATTAATGGCAGTGTGTCTTTTAGTGTAATAAACTTTTTAAATTTAAGCATTCACTGTATATTTTTATCATATCTCATATAGTTTAAATCTTCAAATTTCAGAAAGGAATTTCATTTGGGCCAACATTTAAAAATAAATTATAAAACATATATTTTTACATTATGAATAATTATAAAGTTAAAACTTCAGGAATAAAAAGACTACATATAAATCACCAACAAAATATTTTCACTATTTTGTTATTTTCTTTCAATCTTTCTACTTTTGCATTTGAATTCTATATGAATTGTATCCACAACATATACAACACTTTATATCCTGCTAAAAATTGTGCCATAGTTTCTCCTTTTATTACATAATTCTTGGATCATAATAATACATGTCTTCATAATAATCTGTTGCATATTTGAATAATTTTTAAATTTTTTATCACCTATCTATTATTGAATTAACAAGCTTTTGGTATTAACATTGATCTTATAAAACATATCTTTGGGTATAGCCTCAGACTATACCCAGATAGTGAGTTACCTGGACAAAAACTTGGTGCATTTTTAGGGTAAGTAACCTATGTTGCCACAATGTTTCCTCAAAGCCATTGTCTAGCTGGAATGTCAACCATAATATTAAGGAGTGTCATTTTTGTAGCATTTCTGCCAACATCCCATACATAGATCAGAATTTTCTCAAAAAATGTTTGAAATGTGAAAAATGGTGCTTCATCACATTATTTTTGTGCTTCCCACTTTACATACTAGAGTGAAGAAGGATCCCCTCAGGAAGGAATTCTGGAAGATATGCCTGTGGATCCTGACAATGAGGCCTATGAAATGCCTTCAGAGGTAAATTCTTACACACAAAACTCCAAAAATAAAGTTTAGGAGTTGAAGTTGGATCTCTATAAAAGCAGTGTCAAAATCTTGTCATGGTCAGATTTCCCTTCGATTAGGATTTGTGTGAGTCAATCAGGAGAAATTTTCTCTAAGAGGCAATGTTGATTCGGGAGGGAGAGGTGAGACAATATGGTAAGTCAAAAGAGTGGTGAGCATCTGAATAGATGGAAAGACCAGAGGCAAAGGCACAGGTGTCTGTGCATATGGATTGGTCTGAGGAATAGTAAGTAATTATGGTTCAAGTTTATGAAACAGTAATGATAGATTAAGGCTACAGAGATGATTAAGGTCAATGACAGATTGTAGAGCAAAAGGACAACTTTGGTTTTAAGAAGCCAACTGGAGGTTTTGAAGAAGGTATGTTTGGTTTTATGCAGAATCTTGGTATTATTAGAGTTGTTCTTAAGGAGGTCTTACCTGACCCCTTTGCCTAAGGCCATTTGTATTCTTATTATGAATGTTACTAAATATTGTATTGAGGACTTGGGCTGTGAAAGAGAATAAAAGTAATTATTGAAGTCATAGGTGAAGATGAAATTTCCAATTGGGAAAGTGAAAGGACAGAATCTTGTCTTTAAATGTCTTAATTTGCTTCTAAGGATTAGAGTATCTTACCATGAAAGAAGCTTCATAAGCTACTTAACTTATGTCTCCAATTTAGGTTTGAGTGCACTGAAAGCCAGAGAGGCACAAGTATTTTGTTTTATAGGACTACATCATGTAATTGCTAAACAGTACATCTGGAAGTAGAAGCCAGATACCCTAACTTTGGCAACTAACATAAATTACTTTTGTATGTGATAGGTAAGACAAACTACAAAATTAAAATGATATTTGCTTATAGCAGAATCATTCCAAAACCGTTACGAAAATAAACTTAACTCACAATGTCGAGCCATGTCCCATATCATTTGCCCTGAATTCTTGATTAGTGAACACTGCTGCTAACAGTGAGTGCTGCCTGTTTGACTTCCCTAATGTTAGGAAGGCTATCAAGACTACGAACCTGAAGCCTAAGAAACACCTTTGCTCCCAGCATCTTGAGATCTGCTGACAGACGTTCCATCCTGTGCAAGTGCTCGGTTCCGATATGCGCAGTCATGATGTTTCCTCAGAGTTTTTATAGTGCATTTTGAAGTCTTCCGTCAGCAGTGATTGAAGTTATCTGTACCTGCCCCACTCAGCATTTCGGTGCTTCCCTCTCACTGAAGTGAATTTATGGTAGCAAGGTCTTCGTGTGCTGTGGATATTGTGGCTTCAACTCTAAATTGTTAAAACAAATTAAATACACCTAAGTGACTACCACTTGTTTTTAAATCTCCACTATTTTGTTGTTGTTGTTGTTGAGAAGTTGTGATTTACTCTCATATATTATACAATTTTAGGTGTCTTTAATGATTCTGTCTAAGAATAATGATATATTGTGAAATTTGTTAAAATACATAATATATAAAAATATGTGCGCATGAATCTATGCACCTATAAATATTAACTATGAAATTTTACTGTTTTGTGATGTGTTTTATTAACTTGTGTTTGTATATAAATTGTGAAAATTAAAATAAAATGTTATCTCATTACAAAAGTATGTTTGTCCCATCTCAGTTTAATAATAAAATTATACTTTTAAACAATACTAAATGAAAACTGACACAACAAACTTAATTTAAAGTTCTTAACAGCCATTTGAAGAAGAAGGAATTTGAGAGATGTTAGTGAATTTGGAACCTCAACATTATGCTTGGATTTTCCTGAAGCAGCATTACTCAAAGTATGTTCTAATCTACAATGTTTTTTTAAGAGGCTGTATTGAAATGATGGTCCCATGCAACAAAAGGTGAGAAATTATTTGGACCACATCTCCTTTAGAAATTCATAAGGTATTCATAAGATATTAGCACATTAAAGGCTCCAAGAGAACCTGGTGAACTCAGCATACCCCCTCCCTTTTCTTTAAATAATCCAAAATACTCTCTTCCCTCTTTAAACCTCTCTTGGGTGCATGTTTAACAAGAGTCATGCACTGGGTTCAATCCCTGGTACAAAAAGCAAAGCAAAACAAAACAACAGAAAAAAAAGAGAGAGAGAAAAACAACAAAACAAAACAAAACAAAACACTCTGGGAAATACCAGAGTTTAAGAAATGTTAATTCTCTAGATTTATGAAAAATCTCATGAGTTTCTTTAAATTTTGCTAATATATTAATCTTCATTAGAAAAGTTTTTCACTTGAGGAAAAACCTGTTAAGTTCCCAGGAATGCTGACAGTAAACTTGGCAGTGAAAAACTGTATATAAGTTAATTGAAAATGTATTCCATTTAAGGTTTTTGTTTTTGTTTTTGGTACTGGGGATCCAACTCAGAACCTTGCACTTACAAGGCAGGTGCGGTGTCACTGAGCTAAATCCCTGGCCCTAAGATTCTTAATTGTTCAGAAGACAAATGACTTTTACAAGTCATTCATAGAAAGTATAATTTTAAGAAATAATATTCTAGATGTGCTAGTAGTTTATATGTAATTGTGAGTGATTTGGTATATATTAGGCATTGACAAAGAAGGAATGAGAAACTATAAAGATGGCCACCATAGAAAGTTTCTCTTGTACCTAATTGAAAAGAGAATACTAGAGTGCTCAGCCACGTGTGTTGTCTTAAACTGGAAAGAAGAGGTAAGTCTTTTGTTTTATTTAAGTTGTGTTTAGGCAAGTGAAGTATTCATTATTGAATACTTCAGTATATATCAAGGCACCTGAGAAAATGGTGATTAGATTATATTTTAAATCTTCCTAAAGCACAGTATTTTTAAAAAATAATATGAATTGGTATTAAGTGATGAAGAACAAACAAAATTAGACTGACACCAGTGACTGAGAGCAGCTTAAGGTTAGGAAAGTTGTGAGCTTGAACTTTAGTGTTTATATTGGTTAAAATTCTACTCTCAGGTGCCTCTTTTCTAAACATGTTCTGGAAGTTACTTGTGAACAGTATGTTATTCTATCTTAATAGTTTAATTCATACCAAGCACTTATACAAAATATTCTATAAGCCACACAAGCCATTTCAGGTGGATTGTCTCACATTCTCTCCTAATGCTTTCACCTTATCAGTAGCCTGAGGATTGTATGATCCTAACTTTATTTTGCAGATGTACATTCCCCAATACCTGAGCTCTTCAGTCTTGTATGACTCCACAGGGGCTTTAGCCGAACCATTCAGGGAGCGCTTTGTTAGCACCTTAGTATTTTAACATAAGATCTGATTTTCTGGGTGTATTTTTAATATATAATACTAAGGTTTATCCTTTGAGTTAACTTGGGATAGAAGAATTCAAATAGCTGCTACAATAGCTATTACATTAAAACTATTTCTAAGTATGATTTTACTTCTAATATTTCTTATATGATTAATATTTCTTTTACTACTTATCTGCTACTAACACATGATTTTTAATTATTTTAAATCCTATGCTGAAGTGGTTAAACATATTCCTTCAAAAAGCTCTAGAGTCTCTGGTAAGTTTTGCTAATATAATTTAGTTCTAAACTCAGCTAAGACTACATAGTGGTTTTCCAAATGTTAAGCTTGCACCTACAAATTAATATACTGGGTTGAGCCTTAGGAAAATGTATCCTCAGATTCCCTCAAAGGTCAGTGACCAGAAGTTCCCATGGTCTCTATGGCAACACAGCAAGATAAGGTACCCTGGAAATGTGCTGCATTTTAATTAGGTTCCTCTAGGGCTTCCTAACTGCATTTTGCAGGTAAATCAAATACCAGGTTGCTTTATATCTTGCAGTGAGATAAAGGCTAACTCATGCCTGTAAATATCAAAGCTAAGCTGGTCTCCAGGAAAGTTAAATCTAAGCAAATATAATAGCAAGGCCATGTATTTATCTTAAGAAGGACACAAGACTCTAGTTAGAATGGTCAATGGTGTTTGCTTAATGAGACTGACAGAAGTAGTGGAGAACTTGGACTTTAAAACTAAGCTATGCAGGATTGAGTCCCAGTTTTGTCACTACCTGTTCTATTCTGGGCAAATTAGCTAATCTCTAGGTCTCTCAGTTTCCTTCTCTGTAAAAATGTATATTATAGTAATAGTGTTTCATAGCATTATTAGGTAAAATAAATTAATTAACATACTTAGAAAGCTTAGGACGGTGAATGACAGTAAATAAGGAATCGATGATATTAGTTGTGGTACTAATAGTAGTAGAGCATGCTATATTTTTAAAGGTAAAAAATAAAACTTTAAACTGGTCAGATACATTTATTTATATCTTCTCTTAATATAAAATAGTAGTCAAGATTGGAATGATGGTCAAAACACTTTGGAGACTTAAGGTGGAGGCTATTCCCTAATAGCTATAGAAGTATTTTAATAATTTAATAACCAATATTTCTATATTTGGGTAGTTAGCAGAATGTCAAAAACATTAATAACTTACAAAGAGAATAAATGCACTAGCTCCGTAAACACTATTTATAAAACACATCTCTCCTTAGACTTAGTTATACTGATTGAGTCACATATCTTCACATTCAAGTGAGATGTATTTTGTACACACACATGCACACAGATATTCTCTGTTTATGATTCACTATGGAAGAAAAGGAAAAGATATACAAGTAAAACTCACAGGTCTGAAACATTATGATCAACTACAAGGGGGAAACAAAAGCAGCCACTTAGATTTCCATCACTTTCCCAAGTCTAATTTATTTCTCATCGTCTTCCTCAGTATGCCTCACATTTGGTTAAAGTTCATTTTTAACCCAAAAGGAGGCGATGTTTACATGAAATCTTCTACATTACCCTAGAAACAACAGAGATACCAAGAATCATGTTCCCAGGCAAAGCAGTATTTGTTTTCTTTGTGCCTCTGGTGGTGCCTAGGAATCAGACCCAACAAGAGTGGGTGAGCTGGTGAGGTGCTGGCCATGGTGGCACTCTGTCAGACCATGCATTGCAGCAGTTATAAATCAACTGGCAGGACAAGATGAACTTGTCCTTTACCCCCTGGATCTTTTGTTCACAGTCTTGGGAACTAAGCATAGCAGAAAATTATTATTCAGTGTTTCCTAACAAAGGTTAATCTTTTGTTTAAAAAATTACCAAAGTCTACACAGACAGATGAATCTCTAGCACATAGTACTTAATTGCAAAGTCCTTTACAAATCTCTATGGAAATAGTTAAGGCAAATCTTGATAGGCTGCTAAAAATTTGTAATTCAGCAGCACTGACTCCTGCTATTTAAGATGGGGGAGCATGTTGAATGATGAGAAAGCTGGCACATCTTGGCAAACTTCCCTGGCACCAGGCTTGGGCGAGCATAAGGGCACATACCACGCTTTTAGATAGGCCATTGCCTGAGAGTGATGATACAAAATGGAAACTGCACAGGTAAGTCTCTTTCCCATAATTTTTTAAATATGAAAGACACACAATCTATGAAATATAAATACTATATATTGTTAACGACTCATCCTGAGTTCTAATTATTGTAGAAATGTTTAGAGACAAGTATTGGTAGATACTTAGTCCCATTCTGCAAAACAGTCTAGCACAATTTAAAGTTACATCAAAGAACAGTTCTGTAAATCAATATTATGAGGGCTGTTTTGTCACTGCCCGTGGGGAAACTAGACATTCAAATGTTACACTCTGCCAGTCTCTTACTAGCAGACACAGTTCCAGTCCATTAGACATAGCTTTTAGTCATCATTTTCATGCCAACAATTTCTGGATGTGCTAGAAACCGTTTGCTCAAATAATTACTTCTGAAATAGCAATGATTTCCACATAATCCATCCCTTTTTATAGATGATTCCTCCTATTGACAGTTTGTAGTTGACTCAGATTCCTCTAGCAGTCTCTCAGCTGGCAAACCTCTCCATCTTCCTCCCCGCCTCACACCCATCACCACCTTAACACAGACTGATCTGTCATCTTACATCTTTAATTATGGCATGTTTTAAATTCAAATATGTTTAAATCTGATCTGTAATCTATAGTATTCTGGCTTTTGAATACATTGTTTATACATAACCACCTCAATTCCAAATAACAACCTGGCTCACAATAAAATAAACAGGTCACCAAACAAAAACCATTACAGTGGGCTATGAAATAATGTTGATTTTTAAAGTGAGAAATCATTGATAGTAGAGAAATAAGACTACAGAATACATATAGAATAATTAGATTATACATTTGTATATAAATTTGCTAGTAGCTAAATATTTGTAAGAAAAACAGCGTACATAGTTTTCAGTGCCAGGAGGAAGAAGACATTTTGTTGTTGTTATTTATGGTCATTATTATTATCATTAATTTACAGAGGAACAGAATAGCCTTTTAATTTTTTTCTACTTTATTATCCAATAGAAACTTGCTACTAAACGTCTTTTAAAACATAGCACAGAGAAGCCCATCCAAATTGTTACTCCCTATAGTCAAAGAAGTACTTATAATCAAGATCTTTTCTGAGGAAGAAATAGTGGAAGTTCCAGCCATACTAACAACAGAGGGTCTGAACTAAC